GGGGTGCTGCCAGAGGGGAGCTTTGCCCGCGGCGCGGGTTTGCTGTCCCTTTTTTTTTTCTTTTTTAGAAGGAGGGGTGTCTTTAGAGAGCCACCGGCCGGCGGGTCGCCGTGGTCGGAAGCGCGGTCAGAGACTCGGCTGCTGTGTGCCCTCCTACTAGTGCCGTGCGGCCGTTTTGGGGGGTGCGAGCACGCGAAGCAGTCAGCCTGATAATGCGTTCACCGCATTTCATCTGTAGGATCCAATTTCGTGTTTGATTGCATCAGTCCTGTGAGAAGGTGGTGTGCTGGCAGCCTTCAGTCTTATGTTGCTGTCAAAGTTTAGTTCTGGGCCCTGCCACAAGATTCGTAATGCTAACAGAAAGCCCTTTTTGGGGACTGGTAAACTTTATCTGCTTAAGGCAACTTGTGTTGAGTATTTTTTTTTAAACTAAGGCCTGTTGCTGAGAGTCCTCTGGGTAGAACCCAGTCTTACTCGCCTCTCAGGTTGTGCAGAGGGAGACTGCAGGGCTGGTAGTTGAGGAGAACAGCTTGGGAAAACAAAGCCCTGCACTTACACCCAAAGTGACTGATGCAAAGGTGGATGTTGAAATACTGTTTTACTGCAGGTTTTCGAACTGAAATTGGTTTTATAATGCTTATTTTCATGGCATTATTGATTCATTGGAACATACTGTAAAGTTACCTGTGCTTCTCCATTTTCTAGGCTTCTGGGGTGCATTGAAATTCTGGTGGCATGCTGTGGCCAAGCTACAGCTTGTGTGGTTCCCTATCAAGAGTGGGACTTAAAGATGTCTGAAAATAAGCTTGAAAAGGAGGGGATGTTGAGGAAATCTTGGAAGGACATGGTTGGGGCATGAGAATTACGTTCTTATTACGTTATAATGGAATTCAGAAACCAAACAGCTGATACTGAGAAGAATTTTTAGAAAGCAAAATGTCTTGTGGGTATAAGTGAATTATCTATAGCAAGCACTGAATGTTTATTTTGTCTCTCTAGTCTCACCGCAAGTTCTCAGCTCCGAGGCATGGGTCTCTGGGCTTCCTGCCCCGCAAGCGCAGTAGCAGGCACAGGGGCAAGGTAAAGAGCTTTCCCAAAGATGACCCCAGCAAGCCTGTCCATCTCACTGCCTTCTTGGGGTACAAAGCTGGCATGACCCACATTGTCCGTGAAGTGGACAGACCTGGATCCAGTATGTATTCATGTTCCTCTGAATAGAGGAGATATTTTTCTTTATGAATGGTGAAAGATGACCTGTTTGTTAGTAGCTCTGGGTTTTAGCCCTGGTTTGACTTCCCCACACTGTTCAGTCCCCAAGTGGGTGGTGTATAAAGCACCCAAACCCCTCCCACTTCAATGTGTATGATGTCCCAGCAGCAAGACTTCATGTCTGGCAGTGACTGTTTTGCTAATGGACCTGTTCTGAGATGCACAGTGGCCTGATGATTTGGTTATACTGTATTGTAACAGGTGACTTACGATGTCCTCTTCTCCATGGGTGGGCATAAGTAAATTGCCATTAGTGGTTTTTTTACTGATTATAGAGTCCTGAGTATAGTTCTGTTACTCACTACCATGCACTTTGCCGATCAGGCTTTGTGCTCCCTACTGAGCCAGCCTCAAATTTCTGCAAGGCATTAAATTATAACTTAAAATCAGTTGCTTCACCATGCATTGTCATTGCCTTTGTGAAAACAACTTGAGTCGTTCAGTCTTTCTCAGAAAGGATTTGTGAGTGAGAACGTACAGGTAATGCGTAGTAGCTGATGCTGGTGTGAATTGTTGTGCTGTATTTCTGTCTTCATTCAGAGGTGAACAAGAAGGAGGTGGTCGAGGCAGTCACTATAGTAGAGACTCCTCCCATGGTGATTGTGGGCATCGTGGGCTACGTGCAGACTCCCCGTGGTCTCCGCAGCTTCAAGACCATCTTTGCTGAGCACATCAGCGATGAGTGTAAGCGTCGCTTCTACAAGAACTGGTAAGAGAGCAGGGCTTTTGTTGCCGTAATCTCATGCCACGGTTTGTTTTTTCTGCTGGGTTGCAGGTAATGCTAGTACAGCTTTTTGAAGAGGCTTTTCAGAAAGCAATTAGCGTTTGCCCTTGATTAACTGGCCTAATAATGGAGTAGGCTGTAGGAGTGGCTCTGGGAGGGTGACAGCGCAATGTTAGTGCCCTTCTTGGCATGGGAGTGCTGGTGTTGGTTTTTGCCTGAGATCTCCTTAACAGGCTACGTGTGATGATACTTCGACGGGCGGACATAACGAAATCGCCTCTGGCGCTTGTTGTTGAGTGTCGAGTCCTGACTGTAGCCCTGTTTTCTCAGGAAAGGGGACAAGTGTGACTTCTGATTACTGTTGCAGGCAATGTTGTGATTCAAAGTACATGCGTTGCCCAAGTGTGGCTCCAGCGTGTCTAGAGCTCACGGCCTGTTTATGAACTTTGCAGGCTGAAGAGACATCAGAGTAGAGCAGTAGTGATCTCAGGGGTGTTACAGTAATGACTGGCATGGCTTGGGCTTACAGGAGGGGAAATTACAGTATTCTGAAGCAGATAGCAGTCATCTGACAATTGCTTTAAAGATCTGTTTTTTCTGTTACTGTTTGACATCTCTCTACAGTCTTTTGTCTTCTGTACTGTGAATGTTAATGTGCTTTGGGATTCATGGCAGCTCCGCTCAGCTCTGGCAGCTTTGCCTCTGTCTGATGAGCTCCAGGCTCCGCTTGCCAGTGGAAAAGTTATTTGAAGCTGGCAATGAGCCGAAACCAGCTGAGGTGGCAGCTCCTTCCGCTCGTCCCCACTTCCTGGGGGATTGATGAAGGGCTTAGCCAAACCTTGTCTCTGCTCTGCTCCTGAAGGCACAAGTCCAAGAAGAAGGCCTTCACCAAATACTGCAAGAAATGGCAAGATGAGGAAGGCAAAAAGCAGTTGGAGAAAGATTTCAATAGCATGAAGAAATACTGCCAGGTTATTAGAGTCATGGCTCACACTCAGGTAAGTGCCTGCAGGACTGAGGTGTATCATAGAATCATAGAATGTTTTGGGTTGGAAGGGACCCCTAGAGGTCACCTAGTCCAGCCCCCCCGCAGGAGCAGGGACACCGCTAACTAGATCAGGCTGCTCAGAGCCCCGTCCAACCTGGCCTTGAATG